GTCGATTCGATTTTTTGAGGCCAAAAGCAAAATTTGCGATCCAAATAGGACTCGTTCATTTACCTTTTACGCTCACAGTCCTTTTGACTTTTGTTTTGGGGACCAGATCCAATGGAATCCTGTATGGAAATTCTTTTCGTCTGCTCATTATACCTGAAATTAAGATTTTCACTGGGTTTATACAAAGTTCTCAGAAGAAAGCAGGTTGTTTATGGTATATGTACTTCCAAAGAATGTTTTAAAGCAAAAGACTTTTATAATAACACAATATACATATTACAGTTGAAAAATACATGAATACATAATTTTAAGAAGGAAGTTACAGATTGAGAATTTTTATCAAACCCTGGCCTTACATAATCTTGTTAAATAAAGCACTAAATTTGGTATAAGCTTGCTGGTCCTTACAAGAAATTAAATAAATAATTTATATTTGTTATTCACCAGTAAAAGGGTACATGCCTTTTTGTCCAAAGAGAGACAATTGTTCTTGGAATAGAAATCTGAAAATAATTAGCATGTAGTGTTTACTTTTTCCAGGTGTGCATACCTCCTTTGTATTACTACTCCCCTTAGAGACCTGCCTATTGTCTGGCTGAAAATTGAGCCACGAGGGTGAGTCCACCTCTAGACCTGGAGAGGCCTAAAGGCCATCATCTCAGTGGCTCCACCAATTTCGATGCAATGAGTGAGACTGCTGGTTTTTCCTTTCATGATTTTGAACTTTGTTACACATTTTTCTTCCACACTCTCCAGGATTTTCCAGTGTGATCAGAGCAGTTGGCAGCACCAGCTGGGCACCAGCTAGTTCTTCTGGTCTCAGGGTCATGGTGACGGATGTTTGCGTGGTCCGATGGACTAATTGCTTCCATACAGCTCTGATTCTCTTCACTCATTACTCAAACAGGTAGCGATCAATAGCTGCACTTCAGGTGGCCACTCAGAAGGGTGTTTTTTCCTTTTTCCCTACTTGGTATTGTGAATTGTATAAAGCTTTTCCATTCAAAAGTTCATAAACATTTTGTTTCATCTTATTGACTGTTCAATGTAGCATCCCTTTTCCGACTTTCTCTCAATATTTACTATTTCCATTTCTCCTTCTTTCCTAACCCTTCTGAACTTTATCCTTAAGGAAATGCTTCCCTTTTGATTTCAATGGTCAATTATTCCAAGGTGTGCGTATCTCTGAATGCTATTGTTCCTCTTATAGAACTGCCCACTAATTGGCTTAAAATTAAGCCATGGATTGAATTTACTTCTAGAACTGAGGGGTGGCTAAAGACCATAGACTGGGGGTTCTGCCAATCTCTTTCTAACTGATAATCTTGATATTTTCATTTTATAATTTTGAGTTTTGTTCCACATTTCTCTTCTACTCTATTCAGGACTTTCTAAAGTGGTCCTTTTCAGAGCAGTTGGCAGTGGTAGTCGGGCACCCTCTAGTGCTTCTGGTTTCAAGATCATGGATACTGAGGTTTATGTGGTCCACTGGACTAATTGTTTCCATCTATCCTCAATTTTATTTCTTCCAGACAGGGAGAGAACACCAACTGTACCTTAGATGGCCACTCATGAGCTGTTAAGACCCCGTCACTCTTTACCATAGTAGGATGTAGAACATTGACTTTGTGGACTATGGTATATGTCCTTTGACCTAGATATTCCCCAAGACTATTGTCCTCAGCACCCAAGCCCAGTCACTCATTCCCTCAACGCGTGTTCAGTTATGTCTAAGAAATTTTCATAATTTTGTCCTCTGTATGTATGTTCTATATCTTAACATATTTGCAGCAATACAAATAAGTACATAGAAATATCCTCTGGCAAACCTACGTATACTCAAGGCTGTTGTCCTGTTCGCCTTTGCACATCTGTTCAGTTTCTATACTTGCCTATGTCTCCATTGATGTAGGAGCCCTGGTGGTGTAGTGAGCATGTGTTCGGCTGTGATCCGCATGGTCAGCAGTTTGAAACCCCCAGCAGCTCTGAGGGAGACAGACTGGGCTTTCTACTCCTGTGAACAGGTACAGTCTCAGAAACCCGCAGGGGGGTTGCTATGAGTTGGCATTGACTCGATGGCAGTGAGATCCACCCACATTATTGTTTTTATTAATCCCAGGTGATTCTTTTTTTTTTTTTTAAATCAATTTATTGGGGCTCATAAATCCCAGGTGATTCTTACACATACATCTGATTAAAATGTAGTTTCTGATTCAGAATATTTGGGATAGAAAGGGAAATTCTCAGCAAGAGTCAAACTGGAATGAACTAATTCAAAGTCTTATAATTACCGGAACACATTCTAAATTACATAAGAAATATGTACATATTTAGTCTTTGATTCAGCACTCAAACATTTGCAAAATTCCAACTTTGAGAAGATTTAGAAGACCTCAGATGAAGTAAAAGCAGGAGCAATGAGGACAGGATTTGTTCAGTGAATAATCAAGCCTATTGCGCTTTCCTGGGATGCATGCTTCTAAATCATCAAATTAGGGTACAACAAACGCGATGAAGAAATTGCCGATTCTAGATCATTTTGAAACATGATGTGCGTGACCTTTTCTTGCGTGTTCTTTGTACTGATTATTTCACATGGAAGCATTATAAAGTGTTACTGTGAGAGCTGTAAAGGGACTGGTGGGTAAGGGATGTATATGGCATACCATTACTAATTCTTCAATGCTTTGTATTTACAACTATGGAATTGTTTCTCTGTGTTCTAAATAATCCAAATTAGAGTACAACAAATGATGTAAAGAGTGGCAGCGAGATGCCAGGGGCTTACATGAGAGAGGGTGTTTTGAGAATGATGAGGGTAACGAATATACAAATGTGCTTTATACAATTGATGTATGTATGGATTGTGATAAGCATTGGATGAGCCCCCAATAAAATGATTTTAAAAAAAGAAGAAGGCAAGGAGGGAAAGGCAAGCTAGACAAATGGAAATGAAAATTATGAGACTGCTGATACACTGTGAAAATTGTAATCAATGTCATGGCACAATTTGTACAAAATTTATTGAATAGTAATCTAATTTCCCATGAAAACCTGTACCTAAAACCAATTTAAAATATTTTATTTATAAATATATTAATATATAACATATTTATATGTAAAGATTTATACATAAATATGTAACATGTAAAATATATTTATGTAAACCTAAATATTTTTATATAAAGTGTTTTATTTCATTTATTTCACCAATAAAGTATGTATACTTATAATTTTTTTAAAAGAGTGGCAGCGAACTAAAAAATGGAAATTTGTGATTTCAGATCATTAACATTTTGAAAATTTATTTCAGGTGACAGACACACTTTAATTTCTAGAACAAAAGGCATCATCTAACCAACAAAGGCACTGTGCCTACCATAAATTCCCTTGGGATCCAGAGTAAAGCCAGCATGACTTTCCCTTTTGACACCTTCAGGCTAAAAGAAAGGTAGACAACATTAAATTACTTAAATTCTTAGAACTTGTATTCCTTGGATCAACTTTCCTTGACCATTTTCTAAAGAAAATAGATCCCTTTCTTAGATGAGCCAAAGTTGGCTTATACACATACATTTAGGAATAAGATTTCTACTTATCTGTCTAATAATAAGAGCAATTACATCGAAGTTATTCTGTGCCAGGTAATTGGTATACGTGCTCTGTATATATTAGCTCATAAACAAACCTGAGAGGTAAGTACTGTGATTACTCCTTGTTTGACAGATGAGAAAAATGGATGCAGACATTAAATCATTTATCCAGTGTCACACTCTGGTAGGTAATGGTGAAACCAGGAGTCAAAACAGGGTTTTGAACTGGTTCACTGGATCTCCTTGCTAAGAGTTTTCATTTCCATTCCAGATATACTGAATCTGAGCCTATATTTTAACAAGAGCTCCAGGTGATTCTTATAGATTACACACACACACACACACACACACACACACACACACAATCTCATTTAGTTGGAGGGTCTGATTCAGTGTATCTGGTATCTGGAACACACCTTTTCAGCATGAGGGTTGAACTGGAAGAAACTAATTCAAAGGTCTGATTCAATCCCTGCCACTCTAACTCCACAGTTGGTGGAAGAATCCAAGGATGCTTGGGAGTGTGTCTTGCACAAAATGAGCCAATAACTACTTACAGAAATGAATTTAATGGCTGTGAACAGAACTCACAGAAAACCTGGTGGCACCATGGGTGAACTGTTGGCAGTTCAAATACACCAAGTGCTCAGTGGGAGAAAGATGAGGTTGTTTGCTCCTGTAAAGATTTACCGTCTCGGAAACCCCAGGGAGCAGTTCTCCTCTGTCCAGTGGGTCACTCAGAGCCAGAACGGCCTGGGTGGCAGGGAATAGGCCATCAGGATGCAGAGTAAGAATTGGGAAGCTCTGTCATTAATCAGTCACATGACTCTTTGCAAGTCATCTCACCTTTCTTCATAAGAAACCATAAGAACTCTCAACACAGGGTGGGTAAATAGTTCTCAATGAATGCATTTTCTCTTCTGTCTCTCTCATTTTGCCTGTGCAGTCATTTATAAAATGCCAGTTCTTGAAACGCAAGGTGTGTCTTACTTATTGTTGCATGGTGGTGCCTCGCATAACCTCGGGCGTGCACATGCCCGGGTGTACACATACACTTTTTGAATGTGTTGAGCCGGGAGGTGGTGAACAAACCCTGGAAAGCTAGACACCTGATTGCTCAAACCGGGTGCCTCGGGGTGGCGGGCATTACTGATGGTATGTCATTTTTCTCTCTATCATATTTCTATATTTTCCAAAAGAAGCAATAATCATTTTAAGCTTTCTTAACCTAATTTCAGACTTGTAGAAAAGCCATGGGAACCATACAAACAAATCTGGGATACTCTTCACCTATAGGAGCTATCCCTTATACTACATTTGCTTTATGATTTTCTCTCTTTCAGCACCACTTCAGAGTATGTGGTGGATAGCATCTTCCCCCTCCCCCACCCAGAGAATGAACACAGGGTTGTAAAAAGGAATGCAAAAAAAGAGGCAAGCATTTCTTACCACCACTCGTAATGTTTTCACTAAGATTTCTCTTCCGACTGTAGTCTCCAGGGTGAAGTTGATATTGTGGAGGCCTATTTCCAGAGGAAGCACGCTGAAGGTTACCCAGTGACTGGAGGAGCCCTCCACTCTCTGATGGGGGCATCGGGAGGGCTTTCCGCTCTGGTGGTCGGTGCCTGCACTCCCAGATGTACAGATGCCCTCAGCAGCAGACATCCTTACGCAGAACTGAAATATCACAAGGCAAGAAAGAGTTACAGCCAAACACTGCCACGCTTTGGAAAGTTTGCCACCAACCGCTAACCTAAAGGTTGGTGGTTCTAAACTAGCCACTGGTCCCACAGAAGAAAAGGGCCCACGGTCTGCTTCCATGATGGTGGCTGCAAGAAAACCCCCCAGAGCAAGTCTCCTTTGACACACACAGGTTGCCATAGGTTGCAACCAATATGATGGCAACAGTCAACAGTGTGCTCATCTGGACACGAGCTCGTCCCGGGTGCTTTCACAGGTAATCCCCTAGGGTCCCAGTATTTGAAGAAAACTCCCGTCAGCTTAAACTTTTTTTTTAATTAAAAGATCATTTTACTGGGGGCTCTTACAACTCTTCTTAAAATCCATACATCAATTGTATCAGGCATATTTTTTTTCCACTTGAACTTTTTTTATTTTAATTTTTTTATCGTTTTATTAGGGGCTCATGCAACTCTTATCACAATGCATACATACATCAATTGTGTAAAGCACATTTGTACATTCATTGCCCTCATCATTCTCAAAACATTTGCTCTCCACTTAAGCCCCTGGTATCACCTCCTCATTTTCCCCCTCCCTCCCCGCTCCCCCTCCCTCATGAACCCTTGATAATTTATAAATTATTATTTTGTCATATCTTGCCCTGTCCGATGTCTCCCTTCACCCACTTTTCTGTTGTCCGTCTCCCAGGGAGGACGTTAAAAGTAGATCCTTGTAATCTGTTCCCCCTTTCCAGCCCACCCTCCCTCCACCCTCCCAGTATCGCCACTCACACCACTGGTCCTGAAGGGATCATCTGCCCTGGATTCCCTGTGTTTCCAGTTCCTATCTGTACAAGTGTACATCCTCTGGTCTAGCCAGATTTGTAATACAGAATTGGGATCATGATGGTGGGGAGAGGGGATGAGGAGGAAGCATTTAGGAACTAGAGGAAAGTTGTATGTTTCATCATTGCTACATCACACTCTGACTGGCTCATCTCCTCCCCAAGACCTTTCTGTAAGAGGATGTCCAGTGGCCTACAAATGGGCTTTGGGGCTCCACTCTGCACTACCCCCCTCATTCACTATGATATGATTTTTTGTTCTGCTGATGCCGTGTCAGGCATATTTATACATATGTTGCCATCATTCCTTTCTGTTGAGCCCTTGGTATCAGTTCCTCTGTTTTCACCACCCCCACCCTTTGTGACCCCTTGGTAGATTATAAATTATTATTATTTTCATATCTCACACCGACGGCTGTCTCCCTTCCCCCATGGTTTCTGTTGTTCTCCGCCCTGGAAGGGGGTGTGTGGTTGTATGTCAATCATTACGATCAGGTTCCCCTCCCCTCCCCCTTCTTCCTACTCTTCTGGTATGCTATTCCCACTCCCACTCCTGGATTGTGTGCCTTCAGCTTTTAAAATGCACGCCTATGCATTGCTAGAGAGCTTGCCAAAGTGAAGAAAGCTCACCTTGTCTAGAAAGCTCAGCACGGGCTCAGAAATGTCTGAGCACCCATAGACTGAAGACTAATCCACCAGTGGCAGCGCTCCCGTAGCTTTGTGTTCATCCCTCTCTGACACACCGTCTCATTACTCGTTTGTGATGTGCTTCTTTACATGTTGGTATTTTAGATGCGGGGAGCTTCCAGTTCAGACACTTGTGTCTTGCTCACCAATCTTTAACCTAACCTCTGGTAGTCAAGAAAAAATGTTTCATACAAACAGAAAACTCCATTATCTAGGCGCTTAAGGCCCTGTCTCTGTGTCCACAAGTTAATTTTCCAATCGTATGTCTTTAACTTATATTTTGTACCCTATTTTATTTATTTATTTATTTTTTTCTCCTGTGGTAGGTTTCTTTTCCTTTTTAAAAAAATCGTTTTATTAGGGGCTCATACAACTCCTGTCACAATCCATACATACATCAATGTGTAAAGCACATTTGTTGTACCCTATTTTATAACCAAGCTCTGGTGCCACTAAGACCTGATTTAATTCTTTGCTCTGCCTTGGGATAAGGGCGTGATGGAAACCAGTTGAGTGACCTCTCACCCTCCATTTCTGGATATTTGTACTGGGAATGAGACAAAATAGTACACGTTGCTTGAATACGGAAGGTGTTTCATCTCCTCTCCAAGAGCTATTGAGCTGACAGAATTGAGTCTAGAGAAAAAGCCTCTAAGATCCAGAACAGAGCACACAGGAAAACAGGAAAGAGTACCAACACTGAGCCCTCTTGACTATCTTCTTCAGAAGCACGCACCCCCTTCAGTGGGTGGAGCAGGAGTAAGACACACTAGACGGGGTGAGTGGTTCCTCTGAGGCCAGTCATCCCCCCACAGCAAAGGTGGCTTGGGGCAGGATAGACAAAAAAAACCACTTAGATAGTTAAGGTCTACTGTGCCAACCTCGCCTTTCTAGTTCTCGGGTCTCTTGCTTTCTGGTGGTCAGACCAGCGTGTAGTTGCCTTAGCCAGTTCCCTGCTTCAGCTGGCAAGGCTCACTTCCTGTGAGATATCCCTGAGGAGAAGCCACATGGACCTACTCCGGTGCAGCCCTGGGTGCTGGAGCACCCGTGTGGAGACTCCTGCCCGCGCTGAGATGCTTACACGTCACTGATTCTGCTTTCCTCCTGCAGTCATGTGCAGGCATCATTGTGTGTGTTTTGTGAGATGGAGGAGGACTTTATAGATTGGTGTCAGACATATGGGCTAATGTTGGACTTGTGGGCTTGGGCAGCACTGGGTTGGGATGTTTTCTTGATGTGCACTTAACCTTTATATAAAACTCTCTCTTATATGTATGAGTTCCTGTGGATTTGTTTCCCTAGTTTACCCAGACTAACACAGCCATTCAACATGAAACATAAATTCATTATAAAACTCTGAGTAAATCGGGACCAGAAAACGACTTTTGAAGCTGATACAGAATATTCATGAAAATCTACAGTATTTCCCCACAAAACCCATGATTGATGAACCTACAGAGACAACAATCAGAATAAGGGTTCCTTAGGGAATATGATGGGATGGGGAAGAAAATGTTTTGAAACTGATTGTGATAGCAATTGTACAATACTGCTTGATGTGATGGAACTATGGAATGATGAAAGCACCTAAAGACTGGAAGGGAGGGTAGCACTTGAAAGAAGAAATAACAGGGTGAGTTTCTTCTGTTTACAGCTTTTTACCCACAGGTAAGTCTTACAAGTGCTTTGAGGAGTGGTGAACTCTCCACTAGAAACCTGCCATCTTCCTGCTTTACAAGATCAGAGGACAGAGTCTGAGGCAACCAAAAGGCAGGGGTGCAAATCCGAGAAAGGACAGAGCTCCAGAGAGGCTGCTCCACATTCGGTGACTAAATGACTCACAGCTGGCTGCCCCCCTAAACAACACCTACACAGCACAGACTCCAAGAATCCCAGAGAAGGCTAACAGGACGGAATGGAGATGTCAAGGGATTGAGTTACGCAAAGCTCATTGTCCACTAGAACACAAACACACAAACAAAAAGTAAGGCTCTTTGGAGGAACATAATAGAATCCCGAGTCTCAGTAGCATTTCATTAGTAAAGTCCGAAGGTCAAAATGACTAGATGTGATAAAACAGGAGTGTGTGATTTATAGACACGAGGAAAGGTAATTCATAGAACCTAACCCTGAGCCCTGATGACTCTGTGCGTGAAGCTTTGGGACGTCAGCTGCAAGGTGGGCAGTTAAAACCCACCAGTCCACCCTTGGGGGAAAAGAGAAGGCTGTCTGCTCCTCTGAAGGTTTGCAGTCTCAGAAACCCTGAAGTGCAGCTCTGCTTTGCCCTGTGTAGTTGCTATGAGCTGGAACTGACTCAATGGCAATGGGTTTGGCTTTTCTTTCTCTCTCTTTTTAAAAATTAAGTCCAGAGATAACACAAATCTTTAAATCTATTTAAGACATAATCTTCTTGCTCCTCATTTTCATATAATGGAAGTGCACTGATAATAAAAAAGAAAATGTGTGTGTGGATTATGATAAGAGTTGTATGAGCCCCAATAAAATGATTAAAAACAAAAGAGAATCAAATATAGCTGAAAGACACTACGTATAATAATGTTTAACATGCGGTTGGATTCAAGCCGCGTTGCTGTCCGTTGCGGTGCTTCCAGCAGCAATGGGAGCAGCACCAGTGCCAGGAGAGGTCTCTGTCGCAGCCACTCAACTCTGCAGTTGACAATCATCAAATAGATGTTTGTGGTTGTTGACCAATAACATCTTCTGGGATAAGACTCATTGTAAGTGGCTAGTTTATAATGCTGACCTGAGCCAAACTTTTATTTTTGTGTGCAATAATTCCACTAATAGAATTTTCAGCATATCAGAAGCCTTTTTATTTCCCCACTTATTCTAACAGACTATAAATACCTACTTACCTGTATTCCAGATGTTCTATAGTTGTAAACAGTCCCTTTCAACTGAATCTGCTCCCCTCTTACAACAGAGTACGGGATATTCATTTCCAGGAAGACATCTTTGAACACCTTAGCCTTGAGAGGATCAGCGACACATATGCCTTCAACGCAAAAAGGAAGCAAAATAAAAGCACATTAGGGGCTCCCATGCCCGTTATCAGCACCAACATGTCTCACATGTGCTTCATTTCAAGTTTTGAAAAACAGATTAGATCATGGTTTTCTCTGCACGATTTCCATATGTTCATGAATTTTCTACTCACAGAGCCTTATTTTGTTGATTATTGATATTAACAGAAAACTTCATTTACTCAATAAACATTTATTTCTATTTAAGACATGAAAATATTTATAACGCAAACACCAAAGCTATTTTCTTTTTTCACTATGAATATATATGACAAACATTTTCCAATTCAACCATTTTTACATGTCTAATCTAGTGGCAGTGATGACATACAGCATGTGGTACAGCACTGTCAGCTTATTTCACCACTATTAACAAACACAGTTGCCCTCAACAATGGCTCCCTCTTTTCCTCCTTGTGACCCCTAGTAGGCTTGGGTCTCCGTAGGGTTGTCTATTCCCTATAAGTGGAATCATACAGTGGCTGTCTTCTTATGACTGTCTTATTTCACCCAACATAATATTTTCATGGTCCATCGAGCTTGTAACACGTGTCAGGACTGTACTTCTCATTTTGACCGAGACCCTTCCACTTTGTGTGGACACAGTTCACTGACGGGTCCATCCATAGATGGACATGTAGAATCTGTCAGTAAGCTGTTGGTTTTGGAAGACAGTTGTGATTGTGGAAGTCAACATTTTGTAAAAAGAAAACACAGCAAACAAACAATTAAGCTAACCAGCTCTGAAGCAATTTACAAATATCTGTCTTATGTCATTATAAAAGATCATAAGATTAGTCGTTAGGGAAGCGTAAATCAAAATTGCAATGCGATAATACTGAACACCCATTAAAATACTAGAATGGCTTCTTATAGAAAACACAGAACAAAGCATGTGAGGGATAAGGTGTAGCAATTTAAGCAACCTTTGTCCATTGGTGGTAGGAGCAAAAGGATGCAGTTGCTGTGAAAAACTTTGTTGGTTCCTCGAGAAATTAAAGATTTATCATATGACCCAGCAGGGACTCACTCAGGTACTTGTACATCAATGCTCTCCATAGCATTGTTCACAATGACCAAAAGGTGGGAAACACCCACGTGTCCATCAACAGAAGAAAGAATAAACAAAATGTGACAAACACATACAACAGAATGTTATTCTGCCGTCACAGAAAGTAATTCTGAATACATGCCATAACATGGGTGAACCCTGAAAATGGTATGCTAAGTGAAGAAATCTAGAATAGGCAACTGCAGAAAGTAGACTAATGGTTGCCATGGGCTGGGGGTAGAATGGGGAATTCATGCTCCTGCGCACAATGAAGCCTTCTGAATTCCCACCCTTAGCAATGTTATCACAGTTTGTTATCAACCACAGAGTGGGGTGATTTTGTGTTGTCAATGAAACACAAACAAACACCTATCTGCTATTATCTGCTTTCAGCCAAGATCCATTAACAACAGCAGTGATATCCCTGTTCTACATCCTTTTCTGAATTCAGCTTGAATTTTGAGCAGCTCCCTGTCAATGCACTGCAGCAATTTTTAGTTATCTCCACCAAGATTTTACTAGCAGTGTTATTAACATATCATTCTCTTTGAAATGCGCACAGATATTACTCTCTTCCAGTAGGCTGGCTAAATAGTTGCCCTACAAATCTCTTGATGTAGTCTAGTAAGCACTTCCAGTGTTGCACTGGTTTGTTGAAACATTCCAACTAGTAGCCTAGTTGTTTGTTTGTCACTAAAGGTTTCAGTGCAGCATAGACTTCTTCCTGCAGTATCATTGGTTCTTGATCATACACTCACTACCTTTTCAAATAGTTGAATGTCGGTCGATTGTTTTTCTCCGCCCACCCCCCATGTGGATAGTTCTTTTTTTTTAAATCATTTTATTGAGGGCTCATACAACTCTTATCACAATCCATACATACATCAATTGTGTAAAGCACATTTGTACATTCATTGCCCTCATCATTCTCAAAACATTTGCTCTCCACTTAAGCCCCCGGCATCAGGTCCTCATTTTTTCCCCTCCCTCCCCGTTCCTCCCTCCCTCATGAGCCCTTGATAATTTATAAATTATTATTTTGTCATATCTTACACTGTCTGACGTCTCCCTTCACCCACTTTTCTGTTGTCCGTCCCCCAGGGAGGAGGTTATATGTAGATCCCTGTAATCAGTTCCCCCTTTCCACCCCATCCTCCCTCAACCCTCCTGGTATCGCCACTCTCACCACTGGTCCTTAAGAGATCATCCGCCCTGGATTCCCTGTGTTTCCAGTTCCTATCTGTACCAGTGCACCTCCTCTGGTCTAGCCGGATTTGTAGGGTAGAATTGTTTTTCATACAGTGACTGTGTTCGCCGTCCACCTTCTTTTGAAGTCTAGATAAACTGAGTACTCCGTGACAAAGAGCTGTCCCTTGCTAAGCAAATGCTTACTCCTTAAATGTGGAAGTTAAACTTGCTTACCACTATTTGAAATACCAACACCTTGAATTTCCCAGGTGGTTAGAGAATCAGGGAGTTTGAACTGCAACTTGTTTCTGGAAGTAGAAATGTTGATATTCAAATAGGGAACACACTGATTAACCCAATGTTAACCATTACTTAATCCAATTCATTAGCAGATTTTGGTTCATGCTACTTTAGAAGAAACAAATCACAAAAAGGCAAAATCAAATCTGGCTTTAATGGAAAAGCAAAGAAAAATCTGTTCAGCACTTCTATCTGTTCCATGCTTTTAGACATTGCACCAGCTTGATGAGAATTACTATTCAAAATGATGTCTATGAAACCTTATACATAAAAATGTGTAACACAAAGAAAAGTGACATTTATTATTTACTCTGTTCTTCAAAACATACATCTTAACACTGCTTCAAACAAAGTTGATGTAATTCTTTAACTAAACACAAGCTTTTATTACATATAATTTTTAACTAAACACAAGCTTTTATTATATATTATGAGGGGAGTTGTCAAATAAAATGAACAACCCCATTCAGGAAGAATAGGAGAAAGTGAAGGGTAGAGGCAAGGAGATCTATTGTATGCTCTGGACTCAGCGCCTTGATTGTTCATTGGAAAGTCAATGCTTTGAGCCACACAGAAGGAGGATTCTTAGGGACTCAATCTTGTTCAATATGTTCAGTGTCTACTGCAGAGGAGGCAGTCCACAAAAAAATGTGTTGAGTGATGTTTTATAGAGTTGGTATCTCTACACCAAGCAAAAAATAGGCGCTAAATAGAGTGTATGACACATAGTTGTGTTCAGTTAATAATTACTGAAGTGAAATGCCATTACATGGAATAGGACATGTCTTCCCCAATAGTTAATTCGGCCCTGGAACAAATTATTAGAGCAAACAAGACAGGAAATCCAACAACAACACAACAAACTTGATCAAATGGTAGGATCATCTCAGTTCTCATACTATTAGGAGACGAGTTATTTCCAGATGTTTGAACCACAATATTTAAAAATTTCCACTTTTCAGAGGAATGTCAAGGAAATAAAATACCTTTTGGGCACATGATGAACTTCCCACAACCAGCTTTCTGGAAAATAACTTCGAATTTCTGGCTTGTCTACTGGTAACAGGTTTTTCATCTCTGGGAGGAAAAGTACATTCAATTGTGGTAAAAACATAAATTCTACCTATGCTCAGTTTTAAAATATTGCCACTAATCTAAAAGATAAGCATTTTCTGGAAGGTTCCAAATGTATCAATGGAACCATTTGTTTTTTTATATCAAAGCATAGAGGCCTTAAGATTTCTTCACTGATAACATTAACAAGACAAATAAGCATACAGTACCTTCAATGATTTGTTTCACATAGAGTTAACTGTTTAATATTCTTAAAATCAAACAAGGCTCTGGCCAGTCTAGAAAGTAATTTACATTTTTTTAACTGCAATAATTATGTTTATAATAGAAAACAAGAGGGGTTTATGTGATCCTCTTCCTTAACTTATTTATATTTACTTTCATAAAAAATGGATGGAATGATTTTTTTCCCCCAAAAAGCTATAGAAAACACAATTTATGAAACAACAGTTTCCAGACTTTAGAACATAAACTTACAGGATTATGACCCTTGAGAAAGGCAGACAAATTAAGTCAACCCTACAATTATTCTTGTTTACAGCTTGAAGGCAGTTTATAGACTTCAAGTGAGAGAAGAGAACCCAAGCATAGCCTAGTGGCCTTGTTGAATTGTGGTGACAGAGAAAGAATTTTGGGGAAACTAAGATGTCTTGAATGAGGAGCAGGTACCAAAAGGAGGAAACTGCACAGAGTAACTTCCAGAGATCTGCAGACGGAACCCACCGAGTCTGGTTTAGGACTTAGCTGTGTGAACTTAAGAAGGGGGCTTGGTGGTGATGTGGAAATAAATGTTGGATTGCTAATTGCAAGATCAGTGGTTCAAAACCACCAGCCACTCCTTGGGAGAAAAATGAGGCTCTTTCCTCTCATAAATATTTACAGTCTCATGACCCCTTTATAAGGTCACTATGAGTCAGAAGCTACTCTAGGAGAGTGAGTTTTCTTGGGGGGTGTATACTTCAGAGGAAAGCACCAAAGGCCAAGTATTTAATCAGACATATTACAAAGTAATGTGATACTCATTTTATCTCTCAATGAATAATAATTTTGAATAATTAGTCATCAGGGAAATGATCATTAAAACCACAATGAGCTACCACCAGAATAGGCAATGTTAAGAAGATGGATGATACCAAGTGTTGATGAGCTTGTGGAGGAACTAGAACTTCATACATTGCTGGGAATGAAGATGGCTTAGCCCTTTTTGAAAATAGTTCAGCAGTTTTTAATAAATGTAAATTAACCAAAGATTCAACAATTGTATCCTAGATATTTAACCAGGAGAAATAAAAGTATATTTTCACACAAAGATTTTTATTTTATTTATATCAGCTTTTCTCATTATATCTCCAACCTAAAAACAAGCCAAATGCCTATCAACTTGGGGAGTGGATAAAAAATTGTCATATATCCATACCATAAAATACTACTCAACAATGAAACAAGTGAACTCCTAGTATATGTAATAACATAGATCATCTCCAAAACATTATCCTAAGTGAAAGAAGTCAGGGACAAAAACCTGCATCTTTCACAATTCCATTTATATGAAATTATAGAAAAGGTAAACCCACAATGGCAGAAAACAGATCAGTGAGTGTCAGGGACCAGCGGTAGGGGCATGATTGACTGAAAAGGGGCATGAAGGAACGCTTTGGGGTGATGGAAATGTTTTTATATAGTGATTGTGGTGGTGGTTATACAACTGTATATTTTTTGACAAAACTCCCTGAATTTCATACTTAATATTGGCAAAATTTTATCTATGAATTATACCCAAATAAAAACTAAGGTAATTAGTGTATTGTGCCATCCTGGCCGATGAACACATGTGGGGTTAATTGAAGGGCGGAGGGATAAATGGCTCACTGAGCCTCGCCTTTCTAGTTCTCGGGTCTCTTGTTTTCTGATGGTCAGACCAGGGTGCAGCTGCCTTAGCCAGTTCTGCTTCAGCTGGCAAGGCTCACTTCCTGCAAGACATCCCTGAGAAGCCACATGGACCTCCCCCAATGCAGCCCTGGGTGCTGGAGCAGCCATGTAGAGACCCCTGCCAGTGCTGAGATGTTTACACATTCACTGACTCGGCTTTCCTCCTGCAGTCGGCATCATTGCGTCTGTTTTGTGGGATGGAGGACTTTGTGGATTGGTGTCAGACATACGGGTTAATGTTGGACTTGTGGGCTTGGGCAGCACTGGGTTGGGATGTTTTCTTGATATGCACTTAAACCCTTTATATAAAACTCTCTCTTATACATGAGTTTCTGTGGATTTGTTTCTCTAATGTACCCAGACTAACACAAATCTGATTCAAGTTACAGCCCCTTTTAAAATGGTACAAGAATATTTTAATAGTATAACATTTCAATACTGTGTAGCTGAGACCAAATTAGGAGATTATAATTAAAACTTTAGACAGTGAAAACTATACAAATTAGATATCTCATTAAAATGCTACTTAAATAAGCAAAGACTTGAAAAACAGCCTAAGTCTCTAATAACGTGGTTTTGGTAAGTGTCCATAAAAATCATGTTTTTTGAAATAAATCCTTTTATACAGACAATGTTTAATATAGGCCATTAAGCAAAAAATCAGGGCATAAAGTAAGAGCTGTCAGTCTGCTTATGTTTTATTTTGTTTTGTTTGCTATACATTCACATTTTAACATAATATATATTTTAAAGAAAAGGAAAGCTTGAAAGTTTAAAATTAATGAGAGTTTGTTAGATTCTGAAAATATATATTGTAGTGGTAACATAAACAAGATTTCACTTGTTGATATAAATACACTTAACCTAATGCTAGATTTAGAAATCTCCTGCCATATTTAGTGTAGGTATAAACTGAAGTTCTGGTTGTAACATCACAGAATTGTAAAGGTTTAGAAGTCAAAGGCATACTGGAGATCATTTGGCCTAAGTTTATGGTTTAAAAATGAGAAGACAGGCTCAGAGATGACAGATCATCATTCAGTTTCATGAATGACTTTGCTCTAAAGCTTGCCTGTGTCTCGACCCTAGAATGGCACACCTCTTTGATTTCCCACAAATGACAACAGGTTTTTTTCTTATGGATATTTACAAGTCCCCACCGCCTACTTTTAACTTTAAATAGTGTATAAGACTTCCCTTCCTTGGTAGCATAAAATTCCACAAAATTCCCTCTCTTAAGCAGAATTCTGATAGCAGATGTCAAACTTACGTAGCCTTCCCAATTGCATATTTTTTTTAGGGTTTCCATCACGGAAGTTGGTGGCGATGGTACAGCATGAGTTGAAAGCTTGGATACACCTCCGACCTCTGGTAATCCGTGCAGCTCGCTGTTGACAAGTCTCATCATCATTACGAAAGGCTCCATCATTACAGCATTGCTTTATGACTTCATGTTGGTATTTAGCAACTGAAATGGTAATAACACAAGCGTACCTGATCATACATAGACTCAAGATATATCAGGAATAGAAGGGATCTCAAGGGATACCTGGTTTATTCAACCCATGACCCCCCTGTGCACCATAACCATGACTAGATTCAGAGAACAGCCTCTGCTTGGAACCATTCTAGGCATGGGGAAAACGCTACCAGTTAGGAAACACATTTCACTTTTTATTAAATGGTTAACACCTTCTTGCAACTAAGCTAAATACCAACTTTGCAAATGGATTCAGCACTCTTTGAGCAGCGCACATTATACAGACTAGAACCTTTGAATATTTGGTGATGCTTATCGTCCAGACAGCCTTCCTTATGGATTACAACTCAGCGTAAAGAAAACAAAAATCCTCACAACTGGACCAATGAATGAGTAACATCATCATAAACAGAGAAAAGAATGAAGGTGTCAAGCATCTTGCTTTCTTGGATCCACAACCAATGCTCATGGAAGCAGCAGTTAAGAGATCAGACAACACATTGAGACTTCCTTAAAGTGTTGGAAAGCAGGGATGTTACTTTGAGAACTAACATGGGCCTGCCCCGAGCCATAGTATTTTTAATGGCCTCATATGCACAGTTGAACATTGAATAAGAAAGACAGAAGAAAGAATCGATACATTTGAATTATGGTGCTGACAAACAATACAGAAAGTACCGTGAACTGCGAAAAGAACAAACAAATCCGTCCTGGAGGAAGTACGTCCAGAATGCTTCTTCGAGGCAAGGATGGCAAAGCTTCCTCCCACATACTTTGGACGTGTTCTTAGGAGAGACTATTCCCTGGCAAAGGACGTCATGTTTAGTAAAGTAGAGGGTAGTGAAAAAGAGGACGAAGACCCTCTACAAGACGGGTTGACCCAGTGGCTGCAACAGTGGGCTTAAGCATGGTGAGGATAATGGGGAGGGTGCAGGACTGGGCGGCATTTCGTGCTGTTGCACGTGGGGTCGCTGTGAGTTGGAACTGTCCCAATGGCGCCTAACAGCGACATTTTCTTCAGAGCTCCCTGGAGGTGCAAACGATTGGTGCTCCCTTTGAGCCCAAGTCAAACTGAAGAAAGACGCGGCTATCTTCGTCCACAAAGCTCCCAGCCAAGGCAGCCCTGCAGAGCTCAGGTCTACTCTGACACATGGAGTCGTCACGGGTCATGATGGCTCTACTGCAGTGGAGTTTGGTATTTTTCTCAGAGGAAAGTTGGCAAATTAGCAACGAGGATCCCAGAATAGTGAATAGGAGCTTTGGTGGCATAGTGAGTTAAGGGTTGGCTGTTCAATGCGAGGTCAGCTGTTCAAATCCACCAACTACTCCACAGGAGAAAGATGACGTTTCCTGCTCCCATTAAGCTTTACAGCTTCAAAAACCTACAAGGGGAGTTCTACAGTGCTATGAGCCAGAATTCACTCAATGGCTTTGGTTTTATTCTACCTGGATGCTGATCTCATAATCTGAAAAGCTAGAGTATATGAAGAAGAATGTGGCATCAGAATCCAAGGAAGATTTATTAGCAACCTGTGATATGCACATTGTACAACCTTGCTTACTGAAAGTGAAGAAAACTTGAAGCACTTACTGATGAAGATCAAAGTCTAGCACCTTCGATATGGACTGCATCTTAACATAAAGAAAACAAAATTCTCATAACTGGACCAATGAGCAACACCATGATAAACAGATAAAATATCAATGCTTTCAAGGATTTAATTTTACTTAAAGTCACAATCAACCGCCACAAGGTAGTAGTCAAGAAATTGACCATGTCTGCTGCACAAAACCTCTTTCAAGTGTTAAAGGGCATAGATATAACTTTGAAGACTAAGGTGCTCCTGACCAAGCCAAGGTATTTTCAATAGCACCACATACATGTGGAAGCTGTACAATGAATCAAAAGGAAGACCAGAGAAGAATCAATGCTTTTGAATTGTAGCCTTGGCAAAGAGTATTTAATGGACTGCCGGATAAACGAACAGATCTGTATTAGAAGAATTATAGTCAGATGTTTTGTAGAAGCAAGAATGGTGAGACTTGACGTGTTGTGAGGGATCAGTCCCTGGAGAAGGATCTCAGGCTTGGTAAAGTCAAGGGTCATTGAAACAGAGGAAGAGCTCCTATGATATGGGTTGACACAGGGCTGCAAAAATGAGCACACATATAAGAACGATTGTGAGGATACCCAGGCCTGGGCAGTGTTCTGTTGTGTTGTACCTAGGGTACCTCCCAGTCAGAATTGACTCCACAGCACCTAAAAGCACCTAAAAACAGTGACAACCAAGGAGCTATTGGATTTGGACAAGTCCTTCTGTGGGAAGTGACCCAGGCATCTGTCTGTCTCCTTTTCATCAGTGGATGCTTTCGTTGATGAATTGATTCAGGGGGAATTATGTAACATGCCGTTTCATTAGCCCTGAATGATAACGACCACAACATGTTCTCTAATATCATAAGTCTTTGAGAGTACCTTCTTTCGCTATTAACTCTTCCAGCGTTCTTTTTGGCCTGAGAATTTCTTTACAAGGTTCATCTGTTAAAAACAAAACAAAACAAAATATAAAAACAAAGACATTGACCAAGAGAAAAGAGAAAGAAAATCTAAAAATCAAGAAAAAGGATGAAAACAATTATTTAAGTATTTAAAACATTCATAAATTATCCTGTTTTAGGATTAGGCATGGTGTACTGCAAATCTGAATACAAACAAAACAAAACAAAACAAACACAAACCCACTGCCATCAAGTCAATTTGGAGCCAATGTCCTTCAGGACAGAATGTAACCACCCCTATGAGTTTCTGAGATTGACGGGAGTAGAAAGGCTCTTCTTTCTCCCAAGGAGTGGCTGGTGGTTTTGAACTGCTAACCTTATGGTCAGCAGCCCAATGCATAACCACTAGGCCACAAGGGCTCCTCTGCTTCTGAGCAGGTCTTGTTTTCTCCAAGTGGCACTCTCAATCTAATTTTACTCTTTGGAGTTTAGGTTTTTTTTTTGAACCCAGTGATTATAAAAAATAACTAAGCATTTAAAGTGAGTGAAGTCTATGTTATGTATGTTGTTTTTATTCTTTCTCTTTGTGATATACTATTACAAATATAAACATCAATACACAGTACCCAATATAATTATGAGCAACTTTAAAACCATAGAAAGAAGATAATTAAGATGTGTTCCTTGCCCTTAAAAGGCTGACCGGGCAGTGGGTAAGACATGTGAGGAGTTAATTGTAGGGATATTATTATTGTATCATGTGTTGTATGTGTAGAGTATCATGTGACGACACTCTATTATTATTGTACATGGATCTCACCCTATGGTATCATCTCTACAAAGGAGTGAATGACTGGATAAGACCCCAATCACAAGATGATGCTCACTGGCTTTTCCAGGCTAGTAAAAGGAAGCGGTCCTGGCTGATGAAGGCATTGTGTCATGCAAGAACGAGGCTTAGTTCTGTATGACTGCAATACAAAGTGCGGTGGAGCAAGGCCAGAGACAACACTGGAGAGCCAGGGAAGAAGGTCACGGAAGGCTTTGAGCGTGGTACCAAAGGATTTGTGCTTTTATCTTAAAAGCCAGTGAGACATTGTATCACAGCGTCCAGTGAGTCTAAGATGGGTATAGAAAATGTTTTGGAGGGACAAAAATAAGAATTTGGGGGCAAATTAGCAGTGTAAATCCTAGTAATTAATTAACACTTTGTTCAACATGAACGTTTTACCATGTTGTCGGGAGTCATCTACATTTGCATTGGTGAGGAAGGTGAGGCCTGCCAGGTGGAACACGTCCGCGTTGTTCCGGCCTCCCCCGACGCCACAGCCCAGGTCACTCTTCTCTAAAGTTTGGAACACCTGTCCAGAAAGGTGAGATGTTGAGCCTGTTCAGATAGATAAGCTATTCCTCCAAAGCACCAAAGATACTACTTTTTACATGTTTAGAAATTTACCTGTGAAATACACAGACCACTCATTAATCAAATGACCAACACATGAATTTCCCAGTCTTCCCCACTTCATGTTCTCCTTTTGTATTCCCATAGATGCTAACTTATTCATTCCTAAGCAAATACATTTGAGGAGAGGACTCTGAGAGTTGACCCATGTTGTTTTGTATCTAGATGGCATGCTGCAATCAATACAGTCATCAAACTTACTGCCAAAGTCAAGTCTGAGCACAGCGCCCCGATAGGACCGGGGACTACCTGCCCTGTGAGCTTCTGAGGCAGGGACTGCTCAGGGAGCTGTGGACGGTTTCAAAAAGCCACCCTTGTGAATTGCAACCCAAATTGTAACCATTACTCCGCCAGGGCAGCTAGTCAATCTAATACACCTCTCCCCGCCCTCTCCCTCCCCCCAATGAGTAAATGGGTGAATGCCTGGATGATTTAATAGACAACTTAAATTTTAAGCTGTTAAAATAATACAGCCTCTTGTGATCTTTAGGAGGACGGTTCTACATCCTGATCCTATGTGGGTAAGAGGACTCATTTAGAGGGCTGTTCCAGTTTTAATTTTGACCCCTGAGTGATATTACTTTTCTGAATATTTTTAACTTCACATTGTACATTTCCTCTTTCTTGTTTGAATCACTTTAAGCCTAGAGAATAATGGCTGAGTATAGTGGTGTTGAATGGAAACTGAACTATTTCTAGGTTCTGTTGTCCCAATTATGTTAATGAGAACAAAGCCAAATAAAGCAAGGGGTTATCTATCCAGCTTCCTTTTTATCATTACAATAATACAAACAAAAGGAGTCCCCAGTCTTTCCATTGTAATTGCTATCATGGTCCTATGCCTATTTTTGTTTTTAATCTTGGATATGTAATTGTCTTTTTTAATTTAAATGTGGTAATGTATGTAATTGTCTTTTGTATGTGGTACAGTACATATAACATAAAAATTTGTCATTTTAATCATTTTAAGTGTGCACTGTATGGACATTAATTATATTTATAATTACCCTCAGCTTGCGGCTCTTTTCACTTTGATCCATGACCTCTCCACGTTGCAGTGCACTTACTGTTGCTGCGTGTCATTGAGTCAGTGACAGACTCAAGGGGAAAAAGTACATGCATTACCATGATCTATTTTCAAAACTTTTTCTACGCACTCCAAATAGAAACTTAGGACCATCAAGAACAGTACTCAATATAAATCAGCATAACTTAAAAGGGTTTTCTATGTGTTTAAATCTGTACTTAAAAAGCACTGTCCTTGAGTCCATTCTGACTCACAGCAACCCTGTAGGACAGAGTAGAACTGCCCTGTGGCAAGACTGTAACCCTTCACCGGAGTAGAAAGTCTGCTCTTTCTCCCTTGGAGCTGCTGGTGGTTTCGAACTGCTGCCCTTGTGCTTTGCAACCCAATATGTAACCACTATGCCACCAGAGCAATCTATAGTCAGAAAAACAACAAAAAGGTGATGTCTGCTGCTTTGAGAACTCATACAAGCAGCACGGTCCTGCTCTGACAGGCACAGAGTTGTCACAAGTCAGCATCAACTCGATGGCCACTGGGAAAAAACTTTCTTGAATTCTTCCTCCTCAACCCACCCTGGTGGCCACAGTTGGCGAACTTGCACCACAGTAATGCACTACTTAACTCTTTCCATGGGCTTCTTGGCTGTTTTTTGGACTCTGTAGATCGCGCTGTCCACTGCTGTTAAAGCCACCCACGAATCTGACTCAGTGGCTAGATCCAGGGATACAGCTTGGCCCGGAGAATAGTCATTAGTATTTGGAGATAGATGCACCTGAAAGAGCCGTTTGAAGAAAAGAAAAGGTCATGTGCCCAAGGGGCCTCCACAGGTTTGTGGGGAAAACAAACAAAAGGAATGGAAAGATCATGGCATTTCCATGGACCGTTTGAAGCCTCTTCGTCTGAGACAAAGCTCTTCAGGGGCATTTGCGGCCTCCTTCATTCAGGAGAACATCGGATTGGGGTCGAGGCTCTGGGACTTACCTGCAGCTGGTTGCCGCATTTTTCTTCAACGTTTAGCCAGATGGAATCGGACACCAGTTCTGCCCTCTGCTCTCCCGTGACGATGTAATAGACCAGGAGGCGAGCGGAAGGCACCATGTTCTGAGTCACTGGGATGTTTATACTTTGATAGGATAAATCTGGAAGTTTCTCCCTTGTGCCAAAGTGCACAATCTTGCCCTTGGATAAAATCTAAAAATAAACAGCAGCAGTAACAACCACCATAAACACGAAGCCCGTGCTTCAGAAAGGGAACTTGGACGTGTGGCAGAGCTAAGAAAACTCACCCTTATGGGCCCACTGAGTGACAGAAATGTATACAGATACCTGACGCCTTCAAGTCTCACAAGAAACCAGGGCGCTAGGGATATTATCACCCTTCTGCAGATGCAGAACCTGAGGTGCATCAACTAAAACTCATACTGGGTTTAGGTTAAACCACATAAGGAGGAAGTTAGAGAGCTAACATCTGTACCCAGATAGGTTGTCATGCTGTCACTGAGACCTTCCCTGTTCATTGACTTGGGGGAAAAAAGGTAAGTGCCATGTCTCTTTTGTGGGGGTTAAGTTTTATAGTCAAGGATTAGGTCCTGAATGGAATGTTTAGAGTAAAAGTAAATAACCTCCAAAAAACAAAATGTTGTCCACAATCCCTTAAATGATCCTTAGAGAGTTGGACTATATACATTGAGTTTGGTACCTAGCCCATCAGCAGTTTCCCTAATTCTTCACCAGTAAATATGTGTCTATAGTCATCATTTAGTTTTTACCAGGTATTCCACAGAAATGTTGGAAAAGCCAGCACTACCTCTCTGGCCTGATCAAAGAGCGATTCATTCCATTTCTTCGGCCATTGTCAGGGAGCCTGAAACATGTTTGCACATCCTTTTCCAGGCTGCACCTCCAGGTGAATGTAAGTGATGTAACAAGAGACATTACTGAAACACCTCGTGACAGGATGGAACTCTCAAGAGCAGGATTTGTGTCCCCTCTTTCTTACCAGAGAACTAGGCCTATGTGAGCAATCTTTGGCCACAAGGCAATAGACTGGAGGTAATAGATTAGTCTGGGGCTTGGCGATGAGGATGCCATCAGGTTCTCTGTGTGAAAAGGAGGATCAGAGCAGAGTTCTCAGTTCGAACAAAAATCTTCCTCTTTTGAGCTGAGTCACCTTGGCAAGGCTTTTAACCTCTCTGTCCTTCAACTTCCTGTTCTGTGAAATGGTTGTTAAAACCATGCCCTAACCAGACTTAAACCTGGTGCGCCAAGACTTGAAGGCAACATAATGGCGTGAAGAAGCAAAGCAACAGGGAGGTCTGGTCCCAATTCCAGCTACGTGGACCCCCCTACCCAGAAGAATGCACTACAGAGGACAACACTGAAGATCCAGCTCAGAGCAGGTCGGGTCTGCTCAGAACACATGGGAGCAAACTAAGAGTGAAGGAGAGAGAAAGAGATGTGGACCACTTCCTGGCCCACCAAGCCACAAGGACAATATTCCTGCTCAGAGCAGCCAATGCACAGAGAGGACCATAGGGCCAGAGCCGCCATGAGACATAGTGCCCCCTCACTGACCCAAAGCGCTATGAGGGACAGCACTGGACATACAGTGTGGCAACTGTGCCCGGTCTGACCCTCACACACCAGGGTGAAACAGGAAGTAAGTGCAACGAGCAGCAAGGGGAACAAAGCAATGAAGTCCCTGAGAAATTCCAAAAACGGACTTCAGGGGCAGTGTTGGGCACCTCACCAGGCTCAATCAGAAAACATTCATAAAGGTCAGACAGACCTGGAATTATTTATAGGCTTTTTAAAAAATGTCTATCTATATAAGATAGGCAGGAAAACAAGCCCGAGGAGAAAACAATGGGACCAATGGTTGGGGGGCGGGGAGACATGGGAGAGGGGGAAGTGAGGGAAAGGAAGGGGGGAGCCAACAAACCCAGGGACAAGGGAACAACAAGTGATCTAAAATCGATGGCCAGGAGGTAGTAGAACGCCTGGTGGGGTTTGATCAAGCGCAATATAGCCGAGAGCCAAATGAAGGTTGAACATGATAGTGGGACAAGAGAAAAGTAAAAAGAAGTAGGGGAAAGAACTAGGAGGCAAAGGACATCTATAGAGGTATAAATCCAGGCACATACATATGTAAATATATTTATATATAATAATAGGGACATAGATCTATGTATATATATTTATGTTAAGTATTAAGGTAGCAGTCAGACATTGGGCCTCTACTCAAGTACTCTCTCAATGCAAGAACACTTTGTTCTAATAACCTGACATTCTGTGATGCTCACCTTCCTGACACAATAACTTTAGACAAATGGGTGCATAAGCAAAGAAGAAAGCTGGTGTTGCCCAGATATTAAAAGAAATAACATCTAGAGTCTTAAAGGCTTGAAGTTAAACAAGCAGCCATCTACCTGGAAGCTACAGAGCCCACAAAGAAGAAGCACACTAGCCTGTGTGATCATGAGGTGTCTACAGGATCAGATATCAGGCATCAGAAGACCGAAAACAAACAATCATATTGATTCAAATGGGTTGGGTGGGTGGGGGACACAAAGCCTATATGTAGACAATTAGACATCCCCTCACAGATGGGTCACAGGAAGGGACAGATACGCCCCACTCCCCAGGAACAATAATGGGAGTAGTGATATCATGAGGGTTGGGGGAAGGTGAGGGGAGAAAAGGGGAACCAATCTCAATGATGGGATGTATTAACACCATCACCCCCCTCACCACCCCGACAAACAGTAGAAACATGAGTGAAGGGAGACAGCAGAAGGTGTAAGATATAAAAATAATAACAATTTATAATTTACCAAGAGTTCATGAGTGTTAGAGGGTGTGGGGAGGGAGGGAAAAAATGAGGAGCTGATACCAAGGGCTCAAGTAGAAAGAAAATGTTTTGAAAAGGATGATGACAACATAGGTACAAATGTGCTTGACACAATGAATGTATGGATTGTTATAAGAGCTGTAAGAGCTCCCAATAAAATGATATTTTAAAATCCTAACCCTATTTCCAAATAGGCTTTTCCTTTATTCTGTTAATGAGGCCATCCCAGTGTAGGGTAGATTCCAAATCAAATCACATCTAACATATTCCAAGACCAGAGTAGACACACACCCAACAAAATGGATGCTACAGGAGGATCCTCTGTAAGCCAAGAAATGCCGGAACCAAGTCAGACCCAAGGACAATGAAGGAATCAAGATGCTCTAGACTTTGATGTGACTTTTGCCCTCCAGAACTGTGAGAGAATAAACTTCTGTTCATTAAAGCCATCCACGTGTGGTATTGTGTTACAGCAGCACTATGTAGCTCAGACAAAGATGTCCTTGAAGGTATTTTGTAAACATAAATGAAAGTGATCATTCTCAAGGGATCACCCTAGAAGGAAAGGGCAATGTTCTGAGTAGGAGTATGTATGTGTGTGTGTGTACATATATACACACATACAAATATAGACATACACATACATATATGTATACACACATACACATACATGCTTATATACAATTATTGTACTTACCAAATAATTATAGTGAGTTATTTTGTCAATATATGGACTTTTAGGGGTAACAATAATATTCAGATGTTCTCCTACAAGCAAAGCTTTATAGTTTTCAGTCCAGTGGATATAAAGGTAGCTTTCGCTGAGAGAGGAGTATGCTATGGCTCGGTACTCTTTGCTGGCTTGATTCTCTTCTTGAAGAACAGGGTCATCAGTTTTAATCTGAAAAGAGAAAATTTCAGAAAAGCATGTGGACTGTGATGTCATGCTTTCTGCAAGAGGTTTGGTTTGGTTTTGCTGCCATTAACTTGTTTATTTTTTATTTGGAGTTGGGAACTGAAATATTATTTACTGGGACAAGGTACAGTGGTTCATTCAGTGAGGAAAAAAAAAGAGGAAGAAAGACTCACTGGTTCCTGAAAAAGACCAATTGGGTGGGTATGCAGGGGAAGGAGGGTGTACCGACCATTGTTTTCCTGTACTGCTTCCTATTCGGAAGTGTCTGGAATCAAATATAGTCTTCTCTAATCAGGCATACCTATTGCTACCGAGTTGATTCTAATTCAGAGTGAACCCCTGGGACAGAGTGGAACTGCCCCCATAGGGTTTTGAAGGCTGAAATCTCATGGGATGCAAACTGTCCTGTCTTTCTCCCTCTGAACGACGTCTGGCTAGTTTGAAGCACCGACCTTTTCGGTTAGTAGAGGAATGCTTTAACTGCAGTGCCACTGGGGTTCCTCTGTTAGGAAAGACTTAATTTGCAAATAAGCACTTGATAGATTGGTCTTTCAAAAAGACTGCTCAGTGGATTAGTAGACTGCTTCCAGGCTTGCTTGCTTTCTCTTTTAATGCAAAATTGTAAAACTGTTCATTGGAGTCATGGATAAAATCTGTTCTACACACGAGCCAAAACCCACAGTCAAAGTACACACTGTTCTAGAAAATATAACAGGAGAATTCAGCTCACGTCAAACTCCAGCGCCGTCACACCAGATGGGAGATTAACCACAAACGAAGCTACTCCATCATTGGCACGTGTCACACTTCTCTTCAACGCCAGGTCAGTACTCTCTTCATTTGCATCAATGGTCTTTGCACTCAGGGTTACTGGGACCTCTCCAACCAACTGGTCAAGGGAGTCCTTAACCTGCACCTGTTTGTCAGAACAGCCCAAATCCATTTCAACAGCTCAGCACTTCTCTTAAAGCGTGAACAATTCTGAAAGAATGATCCTTCCTCACACATATACAAATTATTCATGTTTAATTCCTAAAAGAGTGGCATGACCTCAGCTTTAGAAAAGTTTTATTTTATTTAGTTAAATCGTTCTTGAATAGATTCCCCTGTACAACAAGCAGACTCAGAATATAAAT